CCCGTGGGCATCCGCAGCTCCCGGGCTGCCCGTACCTGTCCCGCAACGGGTTTCTCTCCCTCTCCTCCTGCTGCCGCTTATTCCCTTTCCTGGCAAAATATTTGCGTCCCGCGCAGGGGAAATCCAGTGGCTTTCGGCGGCCAGTATCACACAGACAGGAATGTCTTGGCACGCGGGGCTTTCCGTTAGGAAAACAGATGTTTCTGCAGCAACTGAAGTTTTGCAAAGAGCTTCCCCCGGCTCGGAGGGGCAGGAGTCGGCGAGGCGAGCGGTGTGATCAGCAATGCCTGTCCGCCCCCACCGTCCTCCCCCGTTTTGGGAGTGATTTGGGTCTCAGGCTCCAGATCCTGCTGTGTCGTGTTGTCACCAGGCTTAGAGCAGACCCTGGAAGGAGGGAAGTAAATGCATGAAGGGACCTGGCTGAAACAATCAAGGGAGGTGCTGATAGTCCAGCCAGGTCTGAGCAATGTCCTGGCATGTTCCTGCCTGGTCCTTCCTGCTCTGCCTCCCAGGGCTTGGGGGATGCTCTGGGCTCAGATCTGCATCCAGCACCTCCAGTTCCTTGCTTACCCCTGTCCCCATAGGAGACAGTGACAGTTGCCCCATCTGGAGTGCTCCGTCCAGTTCTGGGCTCCCCACTTCAAGAAAGATGGGGAACTACTGGAGAGAGTCCAGTGGAGGGTTACGAGGATGACGTGGGGACTGGAGCATCTCTCCTACAAGGAGAGGCTGAGGGAGCTGGGCTTGTTCAGCCTGAAGAAGAGAAGGCTGAGAGGGGACCTTATAAATGCTTATAAATATCTCAAGGGTGGGTGTCAGAAGGATGGGGCCAAACTCTTTTCAGTGGTGCCCAGTGACAGGACAAGGGGCAGTGGGCACAAACTGAAGCAGAGGAAGTTCCATCTGAAGAACTTCTTCCCTCTGAGGGTGACGGAGCCATTTCCCTGAGGGGGTTGGTGGCCGGTGTGCGCCATAAATTGTTGGTCCCTGATGGTCGTGTCCCCAGGTCTTGGGCAGGGTCCCCTGAGATGGTTCCCTTCAGGATGTTCCCCCATGCCATGCTGTTCACCAAGCAGTCTGGGAGACCTTCAGCCACGATGGTGACACCTCTGCCAGGGTGTGCTGGGACTCGGGTCCCTTGTCCACCAGGGTCACCTTGGTCCCCCCCAAAACCCTTGTGCTTTCTGTCTCCCTGCCAGGCTTATCTGCGAGCGGTCGACGTGAAGATCCTGCAGCAGCTGGTGGTGGTGAATGATGGCATCGAGGCAGTGAAGTGGCTGCTGGAGGAGAGCTGGACACGTTGGCCGATGACATGGATGAGTATTCCCAAAATGCCGCTGAAACCGCCACCGCACCCGTGCCGGGCAGAGCCCTGGTGAGGGCGGAGCAGGATTGGGTCAGGATGGACCCCGAGAGGGGGCTTGCAAAGCAAGAGAAGGGCAGAGCGGAGCACGAGTGGCCCCACGTGGACCTCTCCCCACCCGGGCTGCCCCAGGATCACCGGTTTGCTAAGGAGCCCCAGGTGGCCAACGGGTATTTGGGCCAGCAGCCGCCTTCTCTGGAGCCGGGCAGAGACACCAAATTACCATCGGGGACTGGGGAGAGGCTGGGGAAGGGGAACCCGGGTGGGAAGGCTCGGAAAGCCGAGGCTGACCTCGAGAACTGCAAACTGAACAGCAAACTGCACCTGGAGTACGATGCCCACTGGCGCTGGCTCCAGTCTCAGGACGATGTGACCTTCTTGTAGCCCGTGGCCACACCTTCCCAATCCAGCTCTCCAGTCTGCTTCACTTGTCTCTGCTTGGGAGAGTTGGGGTGGCTGGGGAGGGGGGATGGGCTGGCTTGGTGGTGTTGCACCGTTCCTCTGACCCCCCGTCAGTGTTTGGCCCTAAGGGACAGGGTGCCCACCCTGCAGTGAATTTCTGGGAGAGGCGGGATGAGAAGGGTCCCTGTAAATTTAACCCTTTGCTCTGTGGGGGTGCTTGCAGGCGGCTGTTCTCTCCTCTGTTGTCCTAGATGTTGGTGGTGGGGAAGGGTTGGTGGGGAAACCTGGGACAGCGGGACTTCTGGGACCTCTTCCCTCCAATCCTCAGCCTCCTGTCTGCAAAAACTGGGGACCCTTCCCTCAAACCGGCTACCCAGGGAGGACAGGAGATGCTCCCATGCGTCTGTAGCTCAGTGGCACCAGTATGTCTGGTGCGAGGTGCAGGGCAGGACCACCAGCAAGGCATCCCTGTGGGATGTGCTCGTTTCCATTATCGTCTTCAAGGCCAGTGTCCATCTAGTGTAGAGTTGACCTGGGGCACCTGGGTTTTGGCCGCAGGCACATGGTGGATGCTAAAACCCTCTACCCTGCATGTGAAGCCCTGCCTGGTTTAAACACCTCCATGAAGCCAGTCTGAAGCGTGATCAGGGCGGTCACTGTAGCTGCTCTCGTTGGGCTGGGGAGCCTTCATCTGTGCCCTGTGGAGGAAGGATGATGGCGCAGGTTTCCCTTCCTCATGTGATTACACAAGAAGGGCAAAGCACTAGGTGGGAGATGGAGATCCTGAGTGGAGATCCAGTCCTCCCAGTTTGTTCTAGACTGTCTTCCACCTCGCGACCAAGTCCTGCAGAAACCCTGGGACGTGGCAGCGTATGGCCAGAGCATATGGCAGAGCCTGCAGAGCTCAGACTCAGAAAGGCTCGTGCTTTCCCCTCACGCAGTGCGATGGGGATGACGGCTGGGATTCTCCATCTGTGTCATGAATAGCACCAGTTCTCTGCCCCCTACCAGCAACCAGAAACATGAGGCTCCTCTGCTGGGGTGGATTTGCAGCGACCCTGCCCTGAAGACATCTTCTCTGCCCATTTAGCCTTGGCTTCTGCCTGTGCCTTTTACTGTCCGCCCACCATGCCTCCCAGCACACCGCTCGCTGGCTTGTAGAGCATGGCTTGCAGCTGGAGCTGTCTGTGAGCTTGGGCAGGACCTGCTGCCTTCCCCAGACGACACGGGGAAGGACCTGGGCATCCTGCAGTCCTCTGCTTCAAGGAGAGGGGCGCTTCCACACATGTGGACAAGCCTGGAGGGTTGTGGTTTCACAACTCGTGGGTGCATCTGTCCCCAGCCGAGTACCATGATGGCTTTTGTCTCACCGTGGTGCTGTCATTCCCCTGCCTGCGTGGGTCACAGCCTGGCTCTTTCCTTGCTGGGGTGGTGGGATTGGGGACAACATCTCCTGATGGCAATGGGAAGCCAAGAGAGAGGGGCGACCTGGCTCCGGCTCTTTCTAGATGCGAGATGGGAGCTGGCCATGGTTAGGAAGGTGGTTGGGGGCACGACAGGTTCAGCTTTGTGTCTCTGAAGCAGCACCTTCAATGGCAACTGCCCTCTGTGATGAGACCCCTGAGCACCTTCCCTTCCCCTGCAGATTCTCAGGGCTTCCCTGGATGGACATGGAGAGCAGGACAACATCTAAACTCCCAGTGACGGCACCTGCCAAGGACTTGGGGGAATCCCAGCAAACCGGGACTGTGTTGCCCTGCGCGAGCGTCCCGCATGCCTGCCCCGAGCAGCCATGCTTGGCTTGCTGTCACCAGCCAGCAGCTTGTGGCTCCCTGCGTGGCTC